TTATTTATAAATTTACTTTACGTACACACAGGAACAACTCATGGATGTATATGAGAGATTAGAAGACATGGCAGCCGACACGGCTGAAGCTCGTGCTGCCCATATTTTACATGGTTTGGGTTTTACTGCAAAAATGCAAAAAACTCCTACCAAAGACTTCTCAGGAGGTTGGCGAATGCGTATAGCTCTTGCTAGGTATGCAAACATTTTATATGTATATAAAATGTATATAATACTATAAAAATTTCTATTTATATAAAACATTTTTTTTGCGTTTCTTTTACAGAGCACTGTATGTAAAACCACATTTGTTGTTGCTCGACGAACCAACCAATCATCTCGATCTCGATGCTTGCGTATGGTTAGAAGAAGAACTAAAAACTTATAAACGAATTCTCGTTATAATTTCACACTCTCAAGATTTCCTCAATGGCATTTGCACCAATATCATCCACGTCAATAAGAAGCAATTGAAATATTATACCGGTAATTACGAGGCGTTCGTGAAAACAAGGTGAGTTGCGAAAGATATCGCTCTGATAAATCATTTCTTATAATATCATATTATTACTTTGTATGTTTTCTTTCTCTTCGTTTTTAGAATGGAATTACTTGAAAATCAAGCGAAACAATATAACTGGGAACAAGATCAGATTGCACATATGAAAAACTATATCGCGCGATTTGGTCACGGCTCGGCAAAATTGGCTAGACAAGCACAATCGAAAGAAAAAACTTTAGCGAAAATGGTGGCGCAAGGTCTGACCGAAAAAGTTGTTAATGATAAAGTGCTAAACTTCTATTTTCCTTCGTGCGGAACGATTCCACCACCCGTTATTATGGTTCAGAACGTTAGTTTTCGTTACAACGAGGATGCGCCTTGGATTTACAAGAATTTAGAATTCGGAATTGATTTGGATACCAGAATTGCATTGGTTGGGCCAAATGGAGCAGGAAAGAGTACCCTGCTGAAGCTGTTGTATGGTGATGTACGTTGGGAATGTATATTCTGTTAGTAAACGAGAACTCAATATAATTTTGTTAACAAGATCATTTCGCGTTACAGTTAGTACCGACAAGCGGAATGATTCGTAAAAACAGTCATCTCCGAATCAGTAGATATCACCAACATTTGCATGAATTACTGGATTTAGATATATCGCCTCTCGATTATATGATGAAGGCTTTCCCCGAGGTGAAAGAGCGTGAAGAAATGAGAAAGATTATTGGCCGTTATGGTCTAACTGGACGTCAACAGGTACGTAATTTATGAAATAATGATATTTAAGAACGATGAATAATCGGATACACTCGTATTTAGGTTTGTCCTATTCGTCAATTGTCCGATGGTCAACGGTGTCGGGTTGTATTTGCCTGGTTGGCTTGGCAAGTACCTCATCTGTTGCTGCTTGATGAACCTACCAATCACTTGGACATGGAAACAATCGATGCCCTCGCTGACGCTATCAATGATTTCGATGGCGGCATGGTTCTCGTATCGCACGACTTCAGACTGATTAATCAGGTACATGCATTTCCGTATGACTTTGCTTTAATTCAAGAAAATTATAAGTTTTGTGGACGCATTCTACATACTCGATATTTTTAGGTCGCTGAAGAAATCTGGGTGTGCGAGAATGGGGCGGTCACAAAATGGAGTGGCAACATTTTGGATTATAAGGAGCACCTTAAAGACAAGGTTCTGTCCGACAACCAAAAGAGGCAGGACCTGGCGAATCGGGGAAAATAATGGAGGCAGCGCTGCGATTTTGATCCGCTTCTTTCTTTCCAGTGCACTATACCTCCATATTTATAGGAATCTTTTTTTTTTTTTTTTTTCGGAAAATTGTAAGATGTTAATCGGTATTGTGTATGCGCTATTCTGTAGCGCATCAGTAATCGATTACATCACTTAGTTAATTTATTGAAGTATTAGAAGGTCGAAATTAATCCTTGACAACCCGCAGGTTGTTGTGGCGCATTACTACAGTAGGAATCTAGAAATTTGAGAATTCGTGCATATTACAAGAGAATACAGATCAAATTTAAATAAATTATCGACAAACTCCATTTATAATCATAAGTATATAGAAAAAGAGAGGACGAAAGAACCCAGTGATTTGTTTTTGACGATCAACTTCATTATAAATTCTTACTAATCTAAAACAATTTGATTATCTTCAAGAATATAAAATATTGTAACGTGTACAAACATATGCAGGTACGATCGATTATATAGTCCCAAAATACATTTTTATCCATGTACGTATATAAATAATTATAATAATGTAACATGGAAGACGTCATTTTCGTATATCTCTGTGTATTGTAAAATGTCGAAAGATGTCTTGACGAATTTTCACCGCGTTTAAAAACGATTATTAAAATATATCCTTCACGATACTTTCGACGTGTGCTGTATATATACCTAATATATATTTATATGCATTCTTTTTATAGTAACGATAATTAACAAAATACTGACGAGTTTTTTCCCCCTCCATCAGTAATCTCGAACTTTGTTCATTTTTGTGCCTTGAGATCAGCGATGACCCATTTTCGCGTAATTGCCATCTGATACATGGTTCGAATTTACTGAGCGCTATATTTACAAATCTAGCGATCATATTATGTATAGCTTTCGTTGCGATTGTGTGACGAAAACAAAATTACGATAAGCTAGAGATAATCCGATGATTACAAATACTGTAGCGACAGAGATTTGATTTCATCGCGAGATCAATTTACGTATACTCAAACTGGCGTAGAGGCTGGGATAGAGCAAGCCACTTCCTGGGCCAACGCTGCGTTTCTCAGCACCAATAGATGAGTGTCCATGTCGTTCAGGGCTTGATCAATGAATGCCAGTTTTCTGGCTTGGCTCTTAGGCACGCCATGTTTGGTCACCAACGCTAAATGGGTCACAGCCAACACCAGAGCTGCCACTCTAGCTTCCAATAATCTAGCATCTAAAGGAGGATACAAACTGCGAACAACGTCATCTACACGAGGCGGTATGCGTCGGGCGACCTACGAATAAGAATAAGAACTGGTGAGAAGAATATAACACAATAATAATGTACAGTAATCACACTTACATCCACTATCTCCAGCGGAACAGTATTACTGTTGACAGTTCCAGCGATAGTAGTGAGACTGGCTGCTAAAGAATGACAAGATCGAAGCACTGCTATACAAGGTGGAGCTAAACCAGTGGCATCGTCAACCCATCTAGAACGCAAAAGTATCATCTTTCTAAGCTGCATAACGTTTATTAAACTCTCACAAAGTTAATAACAGGAAGACGAATAACGCGAATGTTGCATTTTCATTAAATTTATTAAATTTTTCATAACATATGCAGATATAAGATATCTGTAAACTGAACCATAGATAAAAGTTACATATTACATGCAACGTTATTTACTATTTTTATTATTTCTTTGTCGTTGCGAAGAACTAATGGAAATAGCAGATAACTTGAATTAAAGATAAAAATGTCATATCACATACAATATTATCTACTATTATTATTAATTCTTCATTATTTATGATTCTCCTTTTACCTTTCAGCACCCGCCAACCACTCTTCACTCTCCCACACATCTAATCCCAAACCAGTGATGTTCTCTCCTTCGAGCAGATCGGAGCTCAACTCCGCAGAATCCTTTTGATTCTGGAAACATTGAAGATCATTATATTTCTTGCCTAGTATCTCTGTCTCTTCTATCACTGGACTCACGTAATAGCAGCGTTGTCTACGACAAATAACCAAGAGCACCAGAAGTGCGCCGAGGAAGACAGCGGCGAGTGCGCCCAGGGCGACCGCCACCACTGTTTCCATACCAGTGGCAGTAGTCGGTGGTCCAGCGTTGCTCATAGATATTGGTGAGCTCATGGTTACCACGAAATGGATTAAAAGATGAATGCCAATTTGACAAACCGAAGCGTCACGACGAGCTCCCGGGTGGAGAGACAGGATCAACCGGATTTACATTGGCATCTAAAGCAAAATGTCAACAATCGCACAGTGATCGCGTCGTCATCCACTCTCTCAATGATAGGCAGCAACGGTGGGAGGCGGCGACTGTCACGGGTCTTAAGCCCCGTTCACTGTACCAGATTAGCGACGCGACTCTGTTAGGAATTTAGAGTGACTTCAATCAAACTCCGATTAATCCTATTCAGTACCTTTTAACAACAAGTGTTTGTATCGTTAATTTGTCATTGCGCAAGTTTTTTTATCATGTACAAAACATGCACAACGACAATGTACTGATACTGGCATTAAGAATTTCTGGATAGAAGCTATGATTGGTGAAGCGATACCTGTAATACCAGTAATATAATAATGTTAAAACGTAATGTTGGAAGTGTAAAGGTTATTTGTAAATATGGTTTTTTTCTTAATATGTAGAAAAAAAATTAGAAGCAAATTATATAATTAAAAATTATGCTGTAAATAATTCTAGCCTTGAATAAGTCAATTCTAAATTTTACGTTAAGTAATTCTTGAAAAGTTAGCTTATAATTAATGATTAACTTATCAAGCAGTACATACATCAGCATACGATAATTTTTTAATATATAATAGCTTCTAAAAAAAAAACTTATAAACGTTAATATTAAAAGTGTAAAAGTAAATTATAAATATATCTATAATTACAACAAATTAAAAGTATGACTAAATTAGGCTAATACAATCTATAATTACAAGTATACCTATTTTGGCTACCAATAGTGAAAATCTATGGTATACGTTACGTGCACTATAGATTTGAAGTACTGGCAGTAAATATCGAATTGTAGTCTATATATCTCTATTACTACGCTAATATTATATTTTTATTTAAAATCGCAATTCTATCGACATCTGTGTTTTACTGTACGTGTTTTTAGCGATTTATTTTGCATTCGCGCTATAAAAGAGTCTTCGAAAAAGACGCGCCAAATGCATTCCATCGTGCAAGTCGCACTCGAGGTTACGCTTTCCGCACGTAGCGTGGTAACCCTGCACCCGGAGATGAATTAATTCAGCGGATCTCGCAGTCAGATGTTTTCCGTTGTCGCGCGACAGCGACAGCTCGCCGCGCTGTCAAGTTCTGTTTCGACCGGCGGTCGCGCGCGCTTTCATTTCCCCGAGGTAATACGTCACTCGAGCGCTTATCAGCTCATCTCATTCTCACCCAGTCCAACGCCCGTCAACTCGACGAACAACTGAGCGTTTTTCAGGAATTTCAGGTTCCCGTGCTTATCGCCAGATTTACACATTTATCGGTCCGCACAACGTAACCCTACCTCGTGCCATCACACCGTCTGTCTCGGCCACGCAAGCGGGTACCAAAGAACATTGCAGCGGTCAATTCCACGTGGACGTCCGCAATGCGACTCGAGGGTCGCGCAACTTGACGTTGAGAGGACGAGGACTGGATAGTCGGAGCAAGAATTCAATCTGTAAACATCGCGTGAAACGACGAGCTGAACCATTAAGGCGAGGAATCTGGTTTACGCCAAGTGGAGAAAATAGCGTGTCTTTGGCAGTGTCCGTTTGCAAGTAACACTGGGCTACATGGTAAGGATGAACAGAAAGACCAACAGTGCGACTGCCAGATTGAGACAGGACTATCTGCGCCTTAAAAGAGATCCAGTGCCGTATGTTCTTGCGGAGCCAGTGCCTTCGAATATCCTGGAATGGTAAGTCTAACCTAGTTAAACGAGCTATCAAGTAAACACCGACATCAATGAGCGTTTTCCATTTAGTAACTCGAGTCGATACAAATATCATTCTATTTTGACAGTTCAGTAAGTAACAAAGATAGAACGATATTTGTATCAATTTGTGATGTCAATTTGTTTACTTTACATTCAACAATATAAATATAATAGTGAATTCAGCCACTTGCACGCTACATTGGATTAGTACATATATTAAAGACTACTTTATGTATATGGTATCTAAATGCATTGGCAAATGGATTATAATATAATCAACATTGACAATGAAATAGTACATGTATATTCTCTATTAATTCACATGATAATAGTTGCTTTCTATTTACACCGACTCAAATAATTCTCATTTGTGACGTTATCACTCAGTTGAATGCGCATCCCTTTTATATTCCTACAAGTGAGATTCAACTGAGTTTTTACCTATAATATGCACAAGATCGGGTTTGTGTGCTTAATGCCCAATTTCTTCACCTCTGGATAACTTTATCCAAGAGATATCTCCTAGAATACAATGGAGATATCTTCTAGATAAGGTTATCTGCAACTTATCTGGAAGTGAAGAAATTGGGCATTAGTTAGTCTCGTAAATTCACTTTAAAAAGATTATGAACCTGTGTTGTCATGTGATAACTTTTTACCAAAGTAAGCAAATAATAATGATGCCATTAGTCTGAATACGAAATACAATCAGCTCACTTTAAACTGAGTTTCACTTGTGTGTAAATTGAAAGCAGCTAATCATTATTGAATATTTAATCATTTAAAATGTTTCTACATTTAACTTTGTTAATTTCATGTATTGCTACTTTTATATATGCACTAATCTAGTGTAATGCAAGTGAATGAATTTGTTAATACATAACAGTTAATACATAACAGTTAGTACATAATTGCTGTGAAATTATAATATTAACTGCATTTCGTAGAAAAAGCATCTTTGCAAATTGTGTAAGATTCTTTAATATGATTTATTTGGATCCAGTGAGGAAGAATAGGACCAATCGTATTAATGAATACAATCATTGCAAAGCTGTTTTTTCTACTAAACACGACCATTGAACGCTATATTATTGTCAGTTAGTATTTACTAACTAATCGTCAATCAGCTGTTTACGAATGATTTAATGTATGTCCTGCTTGTTTCAGGCATTACGTGGTCATAGGACCAGAAAAAACACCATACGAGGGTGGATTTTATCATGGAAAACTCATATTTCCAGGAGAGTTTCCATTCCAACCTCCTAGCATTTACATGACCACTCCCAACGGCCGATTTAAAGTCAATACGAGATTATGTTTGTCCATTTCCGACTTCCATCCAGATACATGGAATCCAGCGTGGAGCGTATCTACTATTCTTACTGGCTTACTCAGCTTTATGGTACATTCCTAGAAATATTTCGACAATGTAGTTTCGAAAAGATATTTAATTATAGTTTTGTGTTTACAGATTGAAAAGAGTCCCACGCTCGGCAGTATTAATACAACAGATTATGAGAAGAGACAGCTGGCTGCACAAAGTTTAGAATATAATTTGAGGGACAAGATGTTCTGCGAACTCTTTCCAGAAACTGTCGAGGTAATGAAGCTGTATTAATAATAGCATATTATGATATAACAATTTAGGAAACTCAATTTGATATAATATTATTGTTGATCGATTAGACGATCAGAACGGAACTGGAACGTCGGAAAGAACTTGAGAAACAAGCGAGGCATCAGTCCACTGCATCCGAAGTCTCTTCATTGATACGAGATCAGTTCCAGAGAGATCAGAGCCCACTGCACAGCGCACTGGCAAATCTCGTTGTCATCATTGGCTTCGCGGCGTTTGCGTACACGGTGAATTATGTGCTGAAGAGCATAGCCATGGAATAAGTCCGAATCAGAATACTATGTATTTCAAGCTACACGAAACAAAGGGAGAAAGAGAGAGCTGTAACGATCACCTACAATGACCTACATACATCCGGGAAAGAAGAGGATTACATGAAGAAAGAAGATATAGGTTATACTTGCCTGTCGATCAATCTTTCAAATTCGTGCAGACCGAGCTCCATTCGGTTCCACGCGGCTTGGAACCTTCGCCAGTAAAACTGTGGATAGTTTCATAGATTTTTATATCAAGGATTCATTGTAAGATACAAGCTGTATTATACTTGCAAATTTTACGCGCTCTAGCCATTAACGAATAATCTCAATTCGCATAAGACACGTGCGCAAGACGGAACATATAATCGCAGTGGCTTCCCTGCCATTTTTCTTATCAGATTTGCTCTCTTCTGACTTATAAACATAAGTATGAGAAACCAAGTTTCTTCTTTGCGGTGCTGATATCCTTCCTTTTATTGAATTTTCTACACTTTTACGATTGATTGTATTCAAATGCATCCAAAGAAGTGTGTGTGTGCGTATATTACAACACATTTGTTTAGTCTCGTTTACAGAGAATCTCTCAAATAGAAATACACAAATTGATTGCACTTCGCAATGTGCCAATAAAACTAAATCCAAAATTAAAATGCAATTTCGACGAATCAGATTATGCTTCGCAGCCTGACTCATCCTATTCATGGAATGAGTCAACATTTTGTAAATATGTGATAAGGCTGGAGGCGTTATTGCGTTCAAGAGCGTACTATTAATTATTGTATTGTTTTATCTTTATTAAACATGAAACAAGGATAGAATGATGCAATGGCACTGATAGCGCGCTCTCTGAACGCGGCCAGAGATATAATAGGTATCTCTACGCAATGTAAAAAAGCGAATATAGCTATATCCATCACGTCATCGGTAATTATCTCGACTTCCTTAAAAACTTTACGATTGATGTGTTTCTCTGTTTAGGCATTAAAATGGCTCGTAGTATTATTTCTTCGTGAATTTCTTCCATTTGTATGGCATTTCTTCCTTAATTGACACGAAAAAAAATTTTTATATTTCAAGTAAATTTTCGCTCTTCCATGACTTTTATTGTGTAATATTGAAAATATAATATTGCGTAATTTCTAACTAAAAAGAATTCAACTAAACTATAATTCAAATATATTGAAAATAGATTAGATATATAATTCTTTTTCTTTTTTTTATACTACATCGATAATCTCTATCAACAATTTGTTAAATGATAGGATAGTTGTTTAATATATATGATATTGAAATGTATGTTTTTATCGAAACTTACTTCATTATCTATATCTTTATTGGTTAATTTCTACGGGCCATGGATTTTCGATTTATTATGGAATATTCTTTCAAAAGATAAGACCATTTCGCAATTATGCTTATATATATTCTATTCTACCATCATATATGTAAACATATGCGTATCGTAATTATTAAATAATTACGGCGAAATGTAAATACCTACTATATTATTATTACTGTAAGCGTGTGGAATATAGTTTACTTACCTGAGAAATATCATGCATTCCAAGACTGTCTTATTGAATCAAATTAATCAATATCCATTCAATCCTTTATTGAAAAAATTCAATTACATATCGAAATTAGAAACAGTATGCAATACATTTCAGAGAATTGCGCGAAGATGTGGAGCAAATAGCGTTGAAATTTTAGACGAGTGGTATCAGTTTCAGCAAGTTGATTTTTTTGCAACTAACAAACGAATCTATTAATAATCGACGAAGACATACGATTCCGAAAGTAAAATTGGCGGAACGCACCGATCAGTTGCAGTTCGCCGCTCAAAGAGACTTCTGTTACAAAGAAATTTCGCAAACGAGAGGAAGCTCGTCTACGACTTATCGTCGGAATACGAATGGGGAGACAGCGAGTATTCTCTCGCGGTTTACCGTTCCGGTAAACTGTTAGAATCCCAGCGTTGAATGCCTCGTTGTCCGGGTGCGCTCGGGAGGAAGGATGCGTCCTGTGAACCGAGCCCGCGCGATCTTCTTGCCGAATGTCGTGTTTATGCCTCCTTACACGGGCCGCAGATAAATCCGAGGCTTTCACGACGCTCCTCTCCGCGTTAGTGACTGTTTATTAACTCTTTCAGAGTCCCTTCCCCGACTGTGTATGTTAACTTTTCGTTTTAGCTTCCGTTTAAACTCGCTACGTCTCCCCCGCGATTTATCTATATACGTTTCGTGTCAAACTTTATTAGTAAACCTCACTGTTCTGATATCTTAGAAATATGAGGCAATTATTTTAAATTGAGTGTAATGCAGCGTAATAACTTTTAAAATAATTTTTCTTAGATATTCTTTTTACTGAAAAAGAATTTACTAAATCTTGGTACGTATTTCTTTGAGCAATACTAAGTAAATATTTACTCAATAAAAAATAGTTAAATTTTAATAGTTTTGGTATCAAATAAATATATGTTTACATCTAGTGAATATTTACTTAGAACTCTATTCAAACAAATATTTTTTTTAATTAGGTTTATTTTTTCAATGTATAGACCACGTATCTTTAATTTTTATGTGTTTATTACCTTATAATTTTTAAATATTTTATTAAACGTTTAATTATTTAAATATTTTGTTAAATATAATTTTTAGATAATCGCATATTTTTATGTCATTAATATTATTAATTTATTAATTCAATTTTATTGTCTTAATACCCCGTTTTAATATCTGTCGACGCCCAGCTCCGCTTTTATCTGGCAGCCGATTCATCTTTCTTACGCCAGCGGCGAACCGGCCGGCACATGTCGCGGACGTGATGTTATTTTGTATCCCATCGTCGCGTCCGTATGATCCGCTTTAATCCGTGAAAACATCCCGCAAAAGAAGCAAACAGCAATTTATTCGACCGCGTAATAACAAGGAAGTCGGCCAGCCGCTTCACCATCGAGAAGCCGCATCTGTAATCTCCACCCTCAGCTGGAACACCCTTCCGCGTCGGCAACGCGTCCGCCCCCTTGACGTGTAAATCATTGACGGAGGCGCCAGGACACTCTCGGTTTCGCTTCGAATCCTGCGTAAATAAGATGCACATGTCCGCGGCAAGATGTTGGGCACGTATATGTATATCTGTGATACGCGTTTATTGAGATCGCTTTTGGCGGTCGTTTCCAGAGTTCAGAAAATGGACAGTCGAAGTTATTGAACTAAGGGAGACAGATGCGGTGGTTATCGCATTTTCCCTGTAAAAATTTATGTATCCCAAAATAGAATGCGCTCTCCGAAGTGATTCCCAGTAAAAAACACGTTTTATGGGAGAAATTAATTAAGAAAAATTACTAAATTACCAAATTACTAGTACTCCGCTTGTATAAAACTTCTCGGCGTTTCGTAAAATTAATTCTCCATCAGCGATTTGAAATTTTCATCCTTCGTCCAATAACCTTGGTTTTCAAACGTCAGTGCAAATTTTTACATTGTTTTGGATTGTATAAAAATCTGAAAAAAAATCTTATGTTCTTGGAAGATTTATGTTATCATAGAATAATCAAAATAAGTTAATATCAGCCAAAAACTTTGATGCTTAATTTATGAATATGTCCTGAAATAAATTGTAAATACAAAACAAATTGATTTATAATGATTTTATGCAGCAAGATGACTATATTTTCCTGTAGTTTTAGATCAATAACTTTTAAACGAATAAGTGAATCCAAATAAACTTTCGCACAAATATTTATTATTTTTTTATTAATATATGTTTAAAATTTGATTTAATTCTTAACGCTACTTTCCAATCAAATTTGCAAATAAGTATTACAAAATGCGATTTTACGAAAAAATCAAGACTAATAAAAAAATTAATTAACTTTTAAATCAATAAGAGAATTGTACTCAAATGTTTTACACAGATATTGGCGTAATAATAGAAAAATTTATTAAATTTTTATAGTCTTAACAACGTTTTGTAACCCAAACATTCTTAAAGTTCACACTGAAAAAAAGAATCTGGTAATAGTTATCAAACATTGAGTGAAATAATTTCAATCAAATGTCCGGTTAATAAAACAAAAAAAATTTACTTTTAAATATTTAGAAATACTATAAGTATTACCAAACATATAATATAACCAAGTGTTTGATAATAATTACTAAATATTTAGAAAAATAAAATTATTTTTCGTTACATTAACTAAAACAATTTAAGTGAAATTATTTCGCTCAATATTTGATAGCTACTAACAAACTTTCTTTTCAGTGCAACATCGCTGGTGGAGGATTAATTTGCAGCCGTCATGAGTCAAAATCTCGTCGAATCAAAGTGTGTGCGTCTCGAAGTGTTTACAAAATTTACATCGCTGCTAAAATCGCTATCGATAATCTGACGACTTCCAGTTCGGTCATAGCTTTTACACGTCCGTTTAATACCGGAAACGAGGAAAATGAGGACTCTCCCGCGAGGGTGATTTAGGGTGTCGTCAATCGAGCCGGAATGGTTCGTGGAATCATTTTACGCTCTCGGTCCTCAGTGGGTGGGACAAGACGCGATTTCAACAGGAAAGAAAAAAAAGAAGAAAGAGAGAGAGAGAGGAGAGAGAGGGGGAGAGAGAGGGGGAGAGAGAGAGAGAGAGAGAGAGAGAGAGAGAGAGAAGGGAACGGGAGCACGACCATTGAAAACCGTCCGGGATAATTAACTGTAGGGACGACCTCATTACGCGGCTTAATGAGCTGCCAGCGGCGTGTCCATGTCGCGGTGCTGATACTTTTTCGAGTTTCGGGAGAACGGAGTGGAACATCACGGTAAAAATTGCTTGTACCGCGGCAATGATTTATCATGACTAAGGCTCGGCGCGACCTGATTTGTCAATTTAACAAGCCGCGGCTTGTCGCGTCTTGAAAAACGAGACAATTAGTCCAGAAAAATAAATAACAATTATAAATTTTCATGAGACATTGTGCACTTAATCTCATCGTACATTAAGCGAGTAATAACTTTTTATGCCAAACGATTGTTATTTATATCCCCAGCAAATATTGCGCTAACTAACTAGTAGTAAAATACGTGTTATATAATTTTCCATTTAACAAAATAATTATAATATAACACATGTTGTAATGCATCGCGATAGTTGTATATTTTTGAGTGGGAAATTTTAATTAATACAGTTATGTTACTATTAGTTAGTATTCGCTGAGATCTAAATTTATTACTTATGAATTACAAATTCGCCGGACACGTTCGGGCGAAAATATCTATTTAAACAACTAATATATCATGTCGTGTCAGATTGCTAAAAGGAGTGGCACAAGGTACTTTATTTTCTTTTACCCAAAGATACTAACAAAAAAATAATATATCATGTAGAAGTGTTAAGTATATGACATTTTCTACATGATACATTTAAATATCATGGAGAAAAAACATAACAGCACGATAATGAACTTAGACTTTTGTCGACACTACACTGGAAAAAGTGTCTAGTTATAGCTACCAAATGTTGAGTGAAATAATTTCAACCAAATTATGTGTTGTGTTCAGGTAATATAATTAAACATAATTTTACATTCACACAAATATTTAGTAAGTATCAAACGATATTACCAACGATAATACTTACTACATAATAAATATTTATAAAAGTAAAATTATGTTTGGTTATATATTACCTAAACATTTAGTTGAAATTATTGGACTCTAATTTTTTTTGGAGCAATGATGAAACTAAGTCATATTCATTTATTCTATTTCATATTCTATACATATTATATGTATGTATCATTATGTTCTGTACGAATCCTATATATATCATAGAAAATTATGTGTATTTATTATTTTTTTTTAATAAGAAACTTTGGAGGATAATTCGCTTGAGACACAAACATCAGCTTCCCGCAGCGAATTTTTCACGTTTCTATTTCCATCCGCGGCAACGTCTCTTAATCCACGTGGTCACTTCATCGTGAATTCGTACTGAAATTGGCACAATGATTCCCCAAGTACCTAATCACTTAGTCCATCGTAGAAAAGGAAAGAGAATTATAATTCAGCCACACATAGAACGGTTTATTACC